TTTTTTTTTTTTTTTTGAGACAGAGTCTTGCTCTCACTAGGCTGGAGTGCAGTGGTACTATCCCTGCTCACTGTAACTTCTGCCTCCTGGGTTCAAGCGATTCTCCTACCTCAGCCTCCTGAGTAGCTGGGATTACAGGTGCCTGCCACCACGCCTGGCTAATTTTTGTGTTCTTAGTAGGGATGGGGTTTCAACATGTTGGCCAGATTGATCTCGAACTTTTGACCTCAGGTGATCCGCCACGCCTGGCCCAGTTGACATTTTTTAAACCTCACTTAAACAAAATCCTTCATTAGTGGAGTGAGGATCTGATGTTAGCTATTCCTCTTCTTGTGGTCATGAAAATTCTACTATTTCCTTCTGGTACAATCAAATGGGATTGTCTTTTCTGTTTTTTTCTGAAATGGGATATTCTTTAAAGAACCACATTTTCCTAAGTTTGATCATTCAAAAAATAGTTTCCATCTGGTAGAAATATTATACTTAATTTGTACCAAGTTGTATTACTAAAAGGCAAAATAAAAGTAATGATAACTTTATTCTAAGGTTCTTATTAGTTTTTACGTACTCTGTATTCTATTTCTAACACAAAGTAGACATTTTAGGTTGCTTTGCATATGAAATGAAGGTACTAATGAATACACAGAAATTAAGCACCAAGGTGCTTAATTGGTCTAATTACCCTCCTCACCTTTTTTTTTTTCCCCTTGAGAGTCTTTGCTCTGTCACTCAGGCTGGAGTCCAGTGGCTCTATCTTTGCTCACTGCAACCTCCGCCTGCTGGGTTCAAGCAATTCTCCTGTCTCAGCCTCCTGAGTAGCTGGGATTACAGGCTCCCGCCACCATGCCCACCTTGCCCTCCCCACCTTGCCCATGGCGAAAACAGGCCAGGAAAAACTGACTTGCCCAAGGACAAGGCCAGTTGCTTTGTCTCCCAAAGTCTGTAAGTGAGAATAAGAGATTAATTTGTGCAGTCTATTAGATTATATTTAAACCTATTTTGGGATTGATAAAATTGACAGGCTGTCTCCAAACCTCTAATACTTATCCCAAAAGGATTACAACAGAATCAACTAAACAAGGTTATGGGTTACATCTGACAATAATTCTCTAGCAAAAAGGGAAAGGAATAAAATAACACTTGGCTAAAATCGTATCATTTTTAAATGATTACTAACCACTTGTTACAAAAATCACCTCTTGTTTTTATTTTTTTATATTAGTTTGATACGTGAATGTTAATCCAACTTAATTTTTGAAGGAGAAACAAAATGAAAAATGTTTTTTAAAAAACAATCAAACAGTGATGTCTCTTGTCATGAGTTGGATGCCTGTGACTGACATCAGGTATTGCTAAGTAATAAACATTTTGCCATTCAACTCTAAATCCCTTATTAGCATTAGTTTTTAAAGGAAATGTTACAGCTTTTATATTATTTGATTTGGTATTTAATAACAGTTATAAGTACAATGGTAGACACTGAAAAAGAAAACCCTTAATAGAAAAGAAAAAGACAATTTAAAATCAGATTTTGTTGAAGGGTGCTGTAAGTGCAACTTTATCCATATGCATTCCTTTTAAGGCATTTTCATTGTCCAAATATCTCAACATGTACATCAAGGTTTATATATAAAATGGGCTCCTTTTGTATTAATTCAAGAATTAAAGAAAAAAATACATCTCAGGACTAAGTGTAGCTGAAAAGAAAAACACAAAAATTCACTTTTCTCACAAAAAGTAAGATACAAAAGTCATTTAGCATACATTATTACTCCCCATTGTAATTCCAGATTTGGTACAGTATCTTTTTCATTTCCTGACATAAACCATTAAGACAGCACAGGCTGTAGTACTTCATTGTGAGATGGCTACAATTCTATAATATGCACAGTGATTTTAAAAGAGGCTTTTAACATGCCTTGCATGAAAGGTGCTACATACAAACCTGTTTTGTGAACTCTTTGGTAACCACCAATTCAAAAATTTGGACAAAAGCATTTCCACATGGCCAGATCTCAAGCACATTATTGGAGCTCTGCGCCAAAGGTATTACCCTGTATATTGATTCTTCAGTTTCCTTAGGGGTTTAGGTGTTGATTTAGAATAGAGCCAGATAATTAAAGCATGTCAGGCCCCAGTTAGGAAAATGAAAATGGCTCCAATTAGTTTCTAGTTGGCTTTATTATTGTTTGGCAGAAGTTTAAGGAAAGAGAGTGGCTTCCTACAAAATTTGTTTCTCAAGGTATATTGGAGAAAGTAAAATATTCATGTGGTTACTACTATCTAATCCTTTCTTGAAATGGTATGAAAATTGTGAAGAATATAATTGAGATTATTCATATTTTTCTAGTCTTAATGTGTTCCCTTGGTTGTCTCTTTAATTGTCCCTTCTCAGGGTCAGCCTACTTTACAGGCTGTTCTTGAGCATTTTCTGCTTGAAGCACTAATGTGCTTAACCCAGCATGTTCTCTGTTTTGGGATATTAGTGTTCTGGAGAGGTCAAGCTGTGATATCATTCACCCTCATTGGGCTACCTCACCACTCATTAAATTTCAGCTTTTCAGTAATTGTTCTGGGATGTATTCTAGTTGTGCAAATTAGATGCTAGCCAATATAAATCTAAGTTACCCACTTAGTGTATTTAGCCCTAACATAATTTCTGTGTTTACTTTTATCTACCTAAAAATGGATGTACATTTTTGACAAGCAAGTGTCTTTAGACTGCTCTGACACCTATTACCAGTGAATCCAGGGAGTTATGACAGACAGAGATGTTTCAGAGTCTACAGAATAGGTTTTAAATATTTCTGTTGTACATTATTTGTATATTAGTAAGAATTCTTTGTATTGGCCGGGCGCGGTGGCTCACGCCTGTAATCCCAGCACTTTGGGAGGCTGAGGCGGGTGGATCACGAGGTCAAGAGATCGAGACCATCCTGGTCAACATGGTGAAACCCCGTCTCTACTAAAACTACAAAAAATTAGCTGGGCATGGTGGCACGTGCCTGTAATCCCAGCTACTCAGGAGGCTGAGGCAGGAGAATTGCCTGAACCCGGGAGGCGGAGGTTGCGGTGAGCCGAGATCGCGCCATTGCACTCCAGCCTGGGTAACAAGAGCAAAACTCCGTCTCAAAAAAAAAAAAAAAAAAAAAAAAAAAAAAAAAAAAAAAAAAAAAAAAAAAAAAAAAAAAAAAAAAAAAGAATTCTTTGTATTTACATTTACATAGCACCTTTCATCCAAGAGTTTCAAAATTATTTAATATTAATAGCATTTGGTGGTAAAACCTAAGTTATCAGTGGCATTGAAGTACCTAAGTTCAAGTTCTTGAAGTTCCATTTCAATTTAAACATACTCTGTTTTTTATTGATGGTCTTTTGGAAAATAGACTATGAACACAACATTGCTACTGGCCTACGAGAGAGAGAGAGAGAGAGAAAGAGAGAGGGAGGGAGAGAGACTTTTCTCATGGTTACTGGGTTAGTGATGAAACCCACAACTCATAAACCACACACTATGGAATATGGAATTATTCCAAAAAGTTCTTTAGAGCTGGTAATGAAAGCCTAAGAAGTGCACTGTTAAAATTTTAAAAAGTCAGTATCTTTCTCATTTCAGACCTTGAAGATTACTGATATTGATGTTAAATAATGAATTTGCATTAATGAGTATCAATGTATTTTTTGATTTCATAAGAAAATAAAACTGTGATATAAAATTGGAACTACTAAAAAAATTGATGTTTCCCTAGATTAACTAAATCTGTTTTTTTGTGCTTCTTCCAAATGTTTAAAGGTAACAAATGCATACAAAAATTTCAAAAGTACCAATAATAGTTATCAACTTTAATGTAAGATTATAAAGGAGAAAAACAAAAAGTTATTAATAAATGATAGCCTTAATTATAAATGAGTTTCTGGCAAAATGCAGATCATAGTAAGTTATTTACATTATTTTTGCCATAAGAAAACTTCTTAAGCAATAGTCAGCTCTCAGGTTAAAAAAATACACACACATACACAACCCAATACCAAAGAAAAGAAATGAGTTAAAGCACAATAGCTTTATCCTAGGAATGCCATTTGCTGGAAAACCATCTTACTAAAAAAGTTTCAGAAAAACACTCTTTACCTTGGATTAATGTATGCATGCTTAGTGTTGCTTAATGGGGAATGTAGAAAGGTTAATATCCTTATAAATTTTTTATAACTCCTATTTCATTATGGATTTTTCAGATTTATCTTATAAACTGAATTTGTTTTGCATCAAAATAATTGGCTTTAAGGAAAAAAAAAAGTACCAACACATGCAGTCTGCTAACTAAATAAGGCTCTGACATGCCAAAACAATTCTCTCTGTATCTTGCTATATAGTACATTCCACAAAATACTACAGCATTTAATTTAGATTTACACAACTAAATATAAATGGCTAGATTTTGGCTAATACTTAGCAGAAGCATTAAGCAAACATGGATAAATTCATAAAACAAATGATGAAAAGAGCAGATTGTTCCTGGAGTACTTCTTTAAACACTTAACTTTAAAACACTTGGTCCTTAGCGAGAGATCGTCCTTTATTCAGTAGATCTTAACAGTACAAGGTACAGTAAGTCCTAAAATCTTTTAAAAATTTTGGCAGTTGAATCCAGTAGTGCTCCTTGATTCAAGGAATGAAGGTTTGTATTTCTTGCCTGCTCTATTCACGAAGGACTGTTAAAAGTCTCCTTAAAGATTTTTAAAAATGATTCCTATAGTTGCTAGGTGTCTTGTTACTTCAGAAATAAAGGCTTCATACTGAGAAACTGAAGGACACTTTTCTCTCTGTATTTAGTTGGAAGGTAGAAAGAAGAAAGAAAATATAAGAAAAGCTTGAAGATAAGAGATACAAAATACAGAGCAGCCACTATAAGAACAGCATGCACCAGATATTTCTATAAGAATGAGAATGACAGAAAATCAGAGATAATTTTTGAGTGGAGTATATCATAGAAAAGGTATTTAGTTTATTCTCATCAATTTTCAAGAAAACTGTGGGAAGTTGTATTCCTATCACAAAAGAATTCAAACCAAAAAAGTAATTCCGAGAACATAATTCACTAGTAAAATTATATGTAAAGTGAGGAAAAAAAATAATAATAAAAAAAATACTTTTTCCCTGTGCTAAGTAAAAACCTATGGCAGCCAACTAATATTGCTTCACTAGTAAGTAGGACAGAAAGTCAATGAATTAAGCAAGCAATATTTACATCTGTTAATGCAATATGCACTTGTTTCATACTTAATTTGGTTAGTTTGTATAAATGAGACTAATCTCATTTACATTTTAAGCAGGAAACTCACCACTTGTCCCACATGTCATGTAGTGGGTAACAGAATTAGGAGCTTTGTTGCTCCCTAGACCTGATTTTTGAATTTCTGCTTTCTTGTACTTTGTCCACATCTGCAGGAGAAAAGCATTTCATGTTATTTAGTCAAAGACTGAACAAAATACAATTCAGAAGACAAGAAATGCACTCTCACTGAGTAGGGCAAGGAGAAGGAATCTGTAACTGTCTGGGAAAAATATTAATCTCACAGGCATCTCAATACTTAAAGATTGATTTTTATATTTTAAAGCTGTAAGTAATATTCCTAGGAAAGCTACAATTAAAAAAAAAAAAAAACTGTAACAATTACATTTTACCCCCTTAGTGCCAGATAGCATTACTTACTATGTTTATTTACTAAATGGTCACCATACAGTTTTAAAGTAAACATAATCTTGCATGCAGTAGCAAAACCATCTGGAATGAAATATTTGTATTACTTTCTAAGAAAACCAGGGTTTGATACATATTTTATAGGCAAATAATGTTCCTCCTTACATTGGTTATAGCTAAAATTGCTTTGGTCAAAGGGGATGCAGTGCATAAGAATATGTTTATGTCACACAAATCAATGGGTATAATTTCCAGAAACCTAAACCAGGAATATTGAAAGCTCCAGCTTCATCATTTATAAAATTAGGGTACTGAATATTTGAATAGTTTTACAAAGAATCCTTTGGGAAACTGTAGGCTATTTATGGAGGTGTCTTAGAGGAAATAAATGCAACTGCTCGATTGAGTCAGAGTTGTTTTACTTTTACTTCAAATGAAATTGGTTTTTTTTTTTAATTTGGGGCATCTATGTAAGATTTCACTTACAGAAAGTGTTATGAGGGAATTTTATGTCTCCACAGCAGGTGATAATTTCTAAAGTCTAGACTGTATTTTCCAACAGTCCTCAGGACTCATGGGCATGGTATATATTTGTCTTACAGGCACAGTGTATTTAAAAACAAACAAAAAAACATGCTGCCTATATATGTATAGCCATTGGGGTAGGAAATAGTTCTTTCCTATAAGTCTAATTTTGTAAAATAATCACAAAATTTTTAATATAATAGCATGTGACTTCTCAATGAATTTTGAATGAATAATATTTTAAAGTGTTATGGTCAGATTTATGATATCTAAATAGTTGAAATAGCTGTGAAATAATCTTTGACTTAATATGGAAAAGAAATAACACTAATTATAACATTTGCATCATATATTGCCCTCATTTAATCTCAACTATATTTACCATTAAGTTTTATTACTGGCTCATGAAAAAACAAAAGGGAAAATATTAGCACCAAATATATTTGAAATGTTAGGACTGACTGTGCAGTAATTAACAATAAAACAGAAGATGCAAAAAGTACATTAGGTAGTACTAAAATATGAAAATCTTCTGATTGTGTTCATTTGATTACCTGCACCAGAACCATTTTTCTTTTTTTTTTGGTAATAGCTATAAGGAAAAAAAAGTATGATTATAAAGGAGACAAATTTTACTAGGCAAATATTCTCTATAGATTTTTTTCTTTGGCCCAGTTAATAACAATTTAATACAGTAACAACAAGTGTAACATAATTTCATCCCCACATGGTCACATTTCAAGGCATTCCTTCCAGGTGCCAGGCTGCGTCATTATCAGTAATATTTAGGCTAAATCAAAATGGCAAAAACGTTCCAGAGAGAGCACTAAGATGTATTCCTCTCAAAGTAAACGGATCAGGGTTATGGGTGTTTTTGTTTTTAGCATTCTGGGAGTTCAGAGATTCAAATTTAGCTAATCAGCTTTAAAAGTACTATGAACACAAAAATAAAAGTTTTTTGCACTAGAGTCAAAGTTAACAATTTTTTTTTTTTTTTTAGCTAAAGAGTTTGTATTTATTCTTAGTTCTAAACTCTGTTCTACTAGAAAGACACTTGTTTAAATGGTTACAAATTCTAATTTTTCATTTTAGTACAATTATTCATTATTAAAAATTCTGTTTTAAGGACATACATGTATAATTTAATAATGGATTAATTATAGAAGTAACAATTTTTTACCACTTTGTAAACTTGCTACCCTTTTTGATTAGAAGTAAAAATACAAATTTCCAACACAATGAATATAATTTGGTTTATTTCTCTTTGACTCTATATAAAAACGGAACTGGAAAAACTATTGTATTAACTGATTTCAAGTATAGAAGTCATCTTGAAGAAAAGACAGTTACGTGAGCTCTCATATTTATCAGATGATTAAAAGTGCAGAGAAGAAACAATAAGTACAAATGTTCCTAGTCACTGTGTAAATCACATTTAAATTTGATGGGGTTTTCTATGAATAACACTAAGTTTATGAGTATTAACAATCTTTTAAATCTGAAAAATGTTTTATAAATATGGGTGTTAATATTTGCTATATAAAGTATTGCTTTATTAACTATTTCTTTAAAAATAAAACAGGACAGGTGGCCTAAGTAAATGGCAAAAGAAAATGACGTAATTTTACATTTTTCCTATTGATACTGTACATGTGCAATATAAAGTACACATTCTGGAAGAAAAAAAGAAAGGAGTGAGAGGAAGAGCAAGTGAGGGGTGGGAAGAGGAGGAAGGGAGGGAGGAAATGAGCATTTTTTTTCCAGAAGCAACAAAGCAAACATGACTCAGAAATGTCTTCTTGGTAAGAAAGCATGCAACTGTTTTAACATGCTTCTGTATATCAAAGTAACAATCTTATCAGGCAACAAAAAGGTGAAGGAGGAGCATGTATGGTTAAGGTTTTTAAAAGCATGCAGAAAATGGACAAAGCAATTAATACTTCATGCAGGCTTTGGTGTGGTTACACATTCACATTAATATACATGCCATCATGTATAGCTGAACACTATGCAACAATTTTAAATCAAAAAGATAAACCTAACTGAATGCTATTTTGTTAACAGCAACTTTTCAAATCATATTACAGCAGTATATATCAAATAACATCAACATATTATATTGTGCACTTTTGATCATATACAACCATATTCATACCAAACAGTTTGATTATCCTCAGAAACCAACAATTCGGCTTCTGTGTCATCAGGATAGAGGCATGCAGGAGTGATAAGATTATTGCTATTTATAGAAAACTGTAGGTTACTGTTACTAGGGTTCTGATGATCAGAAAAATGTTTATTATCTCTCTGTGCAGGTTTATCCAAAGAGGCAGAAGCCTGGTCAGTTATTCTGGTGACTGGCCTAGGAGGTAACCCACTTATGTTACTAACTAATTCTGTATTCAGGGATAAAAATGGCTGAGACGAATAAGCCACAGTAAATGATCCTATGCTATCTTTTGCCAATATTCCGAATGCATCACTTGGCATATTAATAGTGGCAAAAGTTTGGTTTAGAAAATGTGACCTTTCCATTCTTGAGTTTCTAGCCTGGGCATATAGAGGCTCAGGCATGTCCGTAGCTAAATCATTTTGGGAATAAGAACCTATAGTATGTGTTGGGCTGTCAAGTATATGACAGGACCACTGGTGTAAATGGTACTCACTAGATGCTGCAGTGGTGTTGCTGTCAGCAGCAGCTGGTGGTGAATCAACTGATACAGGCAGTCTACTGTCCTTGGTCAAAAAATCATGGATGCTTGTCCTTCGTGTAGTTCCTTCAGCAGTAGAGATCACGCTGCTTGCACGAGGTAAAGTGGCATAAGGGTTACTATCTTTTGATTGTCGTGACAGAGAAGATTCTTTTACTAATTTTATCTTTCCTTGAGTGCCTGGTGTAGGTTTTCCTGCAGAACTAATGAAGTAGGTATCTTCAGTTTTTCGAGGACCGGGTCTCAAAAACTCAGACTTAGTTGTCCGTCTATCATAGAAGTCCCCTGGGGTTTTTCCACTTACTGACCTGGCCAGACCACAGCTAACTGGTTTGTCTTTTCCCAAAAAGTCAGAAGAGACAGACAAACTTTTCATTACTTCATCTAAAAGATTCTCTTGACTTGAGGACTTGATCTGTTTAAAAAAAATTCAAAGCAGATTAGTGAATACAGTGCCATGTTTCTACTTTTCTGATTTAGCAGCCTGTGCAATATAAAATTGTGGGTATCTCTTGACACTCCTCAACTTAAAAAAAAAAAAAAAGTTCTGAAGTTCAATTATAGAAACTTGTGGTGTTCATCTAAATTAAGGTTATCATAGATAAAACTAACCTGTATTGAGGTAAGCTTATTGCTTTCTTCCAAAAACTGTTGTAGAGTAACAACTTCACTCCCTGGGGAACCAGTTTTGATCTTGTGATGTCGACTCTCTAGTGTTTCAGGTATTTTGTGTTGGAGCACTGGACTTGATCTGGTCTGTCTTTTCAAGTACTGGATTGGACTGCTACCACTGCTGGACCAAGCCTCATGATCATGAAGCAGGCTAAATTCTCCACTGCTGTGGCTTTGTGGCCTGCTTTGGTTATTAACTGCACCTGCTTTTGGAGTAAATGGGGTGTTGAGATTTCAATAATAGAAATGAAATTAATACATTATGAGTAATAACATTTGTTAACTGTGTCCTAATTATAGGAACAGCCAAATTTCCTTTCACACTTTATTTAGAAATGCATAGTAAACCATGTCAATCTTTTATCACTCTAACAATTGTCTGCCATAGCCTGCTTCCTTGTTTTGTCAAACTGACAACTCTTGTAAGCTCCACAAGGGCAAAGACTTGCTTTTACCACCACACTCAGAGCCTTAACAGAGCTTCATACAAAGCATTCACTACATTTGATGAGTAAATGAATTAATAAATAAATGGGTGAATAATACATTTCTTAAAATTTAGGTTCAAATAGTTATAAAATGCTTCACAGGCTGGGTACGGTGGCTCATGCTTGTAATCCCAGCACTTTGGGAGGCCAAGACAGGCGGATCACTTGAGGTCAGGAGTTTGAGACCGGCCTGGGCAATATGGTGAAACCCTGTCTCTTCTAAAAATACAAAAAATTAGCCTGGTGTGATGGTGCATGCCTGTAGTCCCAGCTACTCAGGAGGCTGAGGCAGGAGAATCGCTTGAACCCAGAAGGCAGAGGTTGCAGTAAGCTAAGATCACGCCACTGTACTCTGGCTTGGACAACAGAGCAAGACTACATCTCCAAAAGTATTTTTTTGAGACAGAGTCTCGCACTGTCACCCAGGCCAGAATGCAGTGGCACAATTTCTGCTCACTGCAACCTCCGCCTCCTGGGTTCAAGCAATTCTCTTGCCTCTGCCTCCCGAGTAGCTGGGATTACAGGCATGCACTACCATGCCCAGCTAATTTTTGTACTTTAGTAGAAACAGAGTTTCACCATGTTGGCCAGGCTGGTCTCGAACTCCTGACCTCAAGTGATCTGCCCACCTCAGTCTCCCAAAGTGCTGGGATTATAGGCGTGAGCCACAGCGCCTGGCTCATTAGGTGAATTTTATATTATTTCGATATGTTAAGACCAAAAACTTCTAAATGCAGAGAATTCTATTTTAATTCTTTGCTTCTCCAAGAAGTCCTCATTACTACTTGAGGTAGTAGTCCTCATTACTACTACTTCTCTGTTCATCCTACATGAATAACTTTAAACATTTAAAAAATTTAAATATCATACATATAAGTAAAGTCAAATAGAGACATGAAGCACTTACAATATTTCAGTAAAAGTATAAAATCAAATATGTAGTGCTTAATTCTTTTTTAAATGTCTTGATTATCTTATTGTTCCTGCTGTCCACTGTTGATATGGTGCCTATATAACCTTAAAAGACTCAGTTGACATTAAGCAACTATATAAAATGCAAATTAGCTGGTTCTAGAATTAAACTCCTTCAAATCTATGGTGTTCCTTAAGAGTACTAATTTGTTTTGATCACTAACAAACTGCATAGTATATCAAAGCAGAAGATGCAACTTTCCATGGTTTCCCAGTCACAGAGTAAAGTGGGCCATGAAAGAATTTGGCTCAAGTTACCTAACATGTTTACAAAATTAAGAGTTTTTTAAATTTTCAAATCAGAAAAAAAAGTCTTTTCAGACTACATTTTTTCTCCTGGATACAAAAGCATTTTTAATTAATTAATTAATTTCTTTTAAGGCTAGTCAAGTGAAGTAGTGGGATTGGACAAGGAACAAAGACATCTGAAAACCATGACGATAAAAATTAAAAAAAAAAAAAAATCCCACCTCAAAATTAGGTATTTCAGATCACTGTAACAATGTCGTAGCATTAATTAAATAAAATTACAACTGAGACACCTTGTAATCTGACAATTCTGGAGTATAGAGAATAACGACGGTATATTGGTTAAATAATTCAGAGGCTAGATGAGGTGGCTCACTTGAGCTCACGAGTTCGAGACCAGCCTGGGCAACAGGTTAGAGACCTTGTCTCTATTAAAAATACAAAAAACCAGCCAGGCATGGTGGCGTGGGCCTCTGTAGTCTCAGTTACTCGGGAGGCTGAGGTGGTAGGATCACTTGAGGCAGAAGGGAGGCAGAAGTTGCAATGAGTTGAGATAGCACCACTGCACTCCAGCCTAGGTAACACAGCAAGAACCTGTCTCAAAAAACAACCTTCCAGGCCAGGCATGGTGGCTCTCACCTGTAATCCCAGCACTTTGGGAGGTTGAGGTAGGTGGATCACCTGAGGTCAGGAATTCAAGACCAGCCCGGCCAACATGGTGAAACCCCGTGTACACTAAAAATACAAAATAATTAGCTAGGGGTGGTGGTGGTTGGTGCCTGCAGTGCCAGCTACTCAGGAGGCTGAGGGAGGAGAATGGCTTGAACCTTGGAGGTGGAGGTTGCAGTGAGAGGAGATCACACCACTGCACTCCAGCCTGGGCAACAGAGCAAGACTCCATCTCAAAATAAACAAACAAACCACTTCCAGAATCTGTGTAGACAGTATATCTTTGAGGAAAAGGTATCAGTCAAGGTTTCCAGACATTTACTTAAATACCCCACCTTGGAATGCATATTTAAAAATTAAGAAAATATTCGTGAAATTATTTTTATGAGCCAAATGCATTTATATAGTTCTTATTCTATATATATATATATACACACACACAAACAGTTGCTTCTCAAATTAAACACAAAATCCTTACCCTTATTTTGTGGATAAATGAAGCCAAACATACTTCTAAAATATGAATAATGTGAGTTCAATGTCCATGCATTATGAGAAAATGAAGGACAACCATTTTCACGTCAGACAAAATGTCAGTAAAATAAGGACGTATAGATGACTCTGAAGTATAAATATTACGTAAGACTTTTGTCTGTGAAGACTGAAAACTGAAACCAAATAACTGCTCCTGTTTTTACATTTGTATACATTGAAATACATTTGTATTACAATGTGAAAAGTATAAAATATTTCAAACATAGATGATTTGGATTTCATACTTTACCCCAGGAACTTCATCCCATCTCCCACCTTAAAATACTGGAAATGGATGGAGTGCATTAAGAAATTAACCTACAGCATACCTTTGACTTCATGTAGGGAAGCATTATTATTGCTATTGCTAGTGGATGTTCTGCCACTATCAAGGCTGGCTGGTCTTGAAGCTAAATGAAAAAATCAGGAGACAGTGTGATAAAACTTCTAGCTGATGATGCTGATGAGCTTTTACATTCTGATTACAGAATGCTTTGAGGAAGCAATCATGCATACTTTCACAGGCTGAGCATGCCCACAGATTAGAAAGCAAATTTCCAGATAATTCATCGAGACACTTTAGAGCAGGGCACTTCTGAAACAATAGTTCAGATTCAGAGAGAGAGAAAGTGCATATTTAGATTTAAAATGAGTTCTGGATGGATATGCCAGGAGTATTTTAGTTGAATAGAATGACATATCTCCTCAGATCCCATGAAATGCTACTGATTGGTTCACTTACAACAGATCAGACAAAGAACTCTGTACATTGCAAAGATGCCATGAAGAGGAGGAATATAAGCATTTATACAGTTAATGTCCTGTATTCCTATCCATAACAAGGGAAACAACTGTAGTTAACACTGCCCTATGCTAACTCTTAAAACCCTGCTTACATTTAAAATTCCTTTAACATGTTACTCACTTATTGCTAATAGTTTGGTGAGACATGATTTTCCAGACAGAAACTGAAAAATCTGAAATACTCAACACTGCCCCAAAATTGGCTTCTTTTTGAGTCAGAGTCTTGCTCTGTTGCCCAGACTGGAACGCAGTGGCATGATCTTGGCTCACTGCAACCTCTGCTTCCTGGGTTCAAGCGATTCTCCTGCCTCAGCCTCCCAAGTAGCTGGGATTACATGCCCAGCCACCATGCTCAGCTAATTTTTGTATTTTTAGTAGAGATGGGGTTTCTCCATGTTGGCCAGGCTAGTCTTGAACTCCTAACCTCAGGTGATCTGCCCACCTCAGCCTCCCAAAGTGCTGGGATTACAGGTGTGAGCCACTGCACCTGGCCCAAAAATTGGTTTCTTAAAGTTCACATCCTTTAAAACAAATTTTTAATATTTTAAACTAATATGTATTTTAAATTGGCATTTTAAAACAATGGTAAAATGCAACTCTTATAACTTTAACCTTCTACAAAAATGGCAACAAAATTACCTTGGAGGACTGTGCAGGCATACTTTATAAATGACCTCGGCTAAAATAGAGAACATTCAGATGAAGCAATTATCTTAAAAGAGGCAAAAAGGAGTATCAGTTTTGAAGAAACAGTAGAGGTAACTATGAGATGCAGGACAGAGAAAACATGCTTGCTGGCAATGCCATATTCACCTATTAAATGCAAGAGTACTAGAATCCCCATTCTGTATTTAATGTGTACTCTTTAAATAAAGTTCATTATCTTACCATGAACTCTTGATCCCGTGCTAGAATCATCACTAACACCTTGTGGACTTATGTCTTCAAAGGATGTAGTATCTACATAAAATAGCAAAATGGATATAAAGATATTTTTGTAATAAAAAATTATAAAATTTTATTTACACAGAACATGGAAATTGTTTTTCAGTCATGTATAACACAGCTTGACTTAACATATTTCATAGACTCAACCAGAAACTGGAACCAGGAATAAGAAAAATGGCAACTCTAATGAGAGTTGACTTGCTTAGGGAAAACACCAGAAGCAATGAAACAATCTCCCCTCTGACCCTGCAACCAAAGCAAGAGCCTGGGTTGTTCTAGGTAGTTCTGTTGGAAGGTGTAGTGCTTTTAATTTTTAGAAAACTAACATTGCCTTCTTTTATCACTCTTTACCTGTTTTACTTCTCCTTTTCTTGTTAATTCATTAGCTGTTTATTATGAAAGGAGGCCTGGAAAAGATTTTAGTTATTTGTATAATGTTTTAGATTTTTGAAATGATTTGAAAGTTCCTCCAAATCAAATACAGATCATGTTTTGATAATTATTTCAGGTTGTTGCTTTTTAAAAAGTATACAGGGAAAAGTCAAATTAAAATTCTTGTTGCTAACAGTTACACCACAGTGCAAATAGCAGACGGCCTATACCTTTATTATTAACCAACTGCTTGGATCTGAAGCCTGCAGAAGAGTTGACAGTTGAAAAGTTGATGGCTGTAGTAGAGAAGGCCATAGCTCCCAATTCTTTTCTCCTTTTACCCGTTGAAATATCATCAGGAACCTCCAAATTCTCAGTACTACCTGTCCACTGTCCTGCTAGGACCATGGACTGCACCAGGTCATTCATGGCTGGGATGCAAATGGAAGCAAATGAATCAGCATGGTTAATGTATTTGTTCGTATTTCTATTTTGTAGTATAAATATGCTGGTTTTTGTCTATGAATTAATGCAAATAAACATCAAAAACTACAACCACATGGTCATTGAAATTATGACATGCATTCAGCTAAATGAAATGAGTAGACCAAAGGCTGATAAATTTCAATAAATACTTTTATCCCACCTCCACCCCCTTTAAAAGACAGAGAAAGGAATTTTACTATGTACAACTGCCATGCTTTTGTGCAGGGAATGTGCACTTCAATTAGAAGCCTTTACAATGTGGTTTTGTGGTGACAAAAATGGAATGAATAAAGGTAAGATGGAGAGCAATTCTTATGTAGCATAATTATTGAAAATGAAAGTCCTTGGTCAGAGCAGGTTACTGAAGAAATTACTCATTTTAATGACTCAATAAGTATACCATTCAATAAAAACCTGAAAGAGATGATATCCAAAGTGACAGACATTTAATGTGATTATGTAACTACCCATGCCACATAAAAAAAGAAAATCCAGAATATTATTATTTAAAGAATGACAAGTATTTTCAAGGGTTATTGGCCATTTTATTTATTTAATTAATCTGGTTCATTAAAGGAAATTAATTTCTAATGCTAAACATTTTGTTATATGCTCCTTAAGTAAACTTTTTTGGGGAAAAAATCTCTATGGCATATAAAATAAAGGGTTTTGTTCCTGCCAATTTTTAGAAAGCACTGGAAATTTATGAGTACATTACATGTATGACTAGACATATGCATGTGTATGTATCAGTGAACATACACATAATGCAAATTCAGTGCCACTTGAAAAAAAATTCTTCCAGCTCCTTATATTAGAGGAAGACTGACCTCTGCAAAATAAGGAAATTGGCGCAGTCCAGAGAAAGGTTAGTGAAAAATTAGTAATGAAAGCCAGTGTAGTCATTTGAAAGAAGCTGAACTGTCATAAAGTCTTACACATGGAACGACGGTAGCAGGCCTTCATTTTGTCTTTATCCTTCGGTCTGTTCCTCAAAAAGGGCAGTCTTTTCAGTGCAACCACTTTAATGTCAGAGCATGAGGAAAAACAGAAACAGGGAAATGAAAGAAAAAAGGGAGAAGAACAGATGGGAGTTAAATGTTGAAATTAAGGACAGAAATGAATGTTTGAGTTTTAGCTATGTGTGCTATATTAAGGCTATTATTGTCATGCTGCTGAGTGATAATGAAATATGAAATATGTACTTTGATATTTTAAAATACTGGGAAAAGCACTGAAGACAATGATGAGGAACATATACTTCTAAAGCTTGGATTGTTATAGTCCTATAAAAACAGGAACTGATTAAGATTACTTATGCAGGGATCAATTTTCCTAGTTAAATTGTAAAGGTAAACCTTTAAAATGAAGGCTATTGGTGGTTCACAGAGTCTACATGATGAAAATGTACAAGGCTTTTGAAGTCTCTATTTTAACTTTTTAAATATAATTTTTATTTTGGAAAACAAAAATAACTTAGGAAAATGCATATTCTACCACAGTATTTTATTAATATACAGTAACAAAAATTAGGGTTCCCAGGGGATGTTTAAAACAATCTTAAAAAACTAAAAAGTCCAAGCATGGTGGCTTATGCCTGTAATCCCAGCATTTTGGGAAGCCAAGGCAGGAAGATCGCTTGAGCCTAGGGGTTTAAGACCAGCCTGGACAACAAAGCGAGACCCCATCTCTACAGAAAATTAGCCATGTGGTGGTAAGCACCTGTGGTCCTAGCTATTCTGGAGCGTGAGGCAGGAAGATCACTTGAGCCCAGGAGTTCAAGGTTGTAATGAGCTATGATCACACCATTGCACTCCAGCCTGGGTGACAGAGGGAGACCCTCTCTCAAAAACAAAACAAAACCTCAAAAAAACCTTTCATTAGTTTATTACACTTTAATAAAGAAAATAAATTACTTCTTGGTTTAAGCTGGATTCTGGTGCATTATTTAGCAGCACCACTGAAATAAACATTCTTTTGACCAAAGTATTTGTAAAGATGAAATAAGCAATTACATTAGGTTCATTTTACAAAAGATTAGCTGGGGCTAAGAGGGAAAAAAAGGAATATTCTGATGGTAGTAATAAGCATTAGCAATAAGCTCTGATAAACCTAAAAAATAAGGAGGTACCCCAAAGCAAATGAAAATGAGAGAAAAGTATGTATAACATTTTTAGATATTTTTGAGGGAATTTGATTTTGTGAATAAAAGGATTATCGCTAAAATATAGGAGTCATTAGAACAAAAAATAAAAACATTCACTAGAGTCATTAACCATTCTTAAGCTACATTTTAGTAAGATTTAACTATAAAAAGTATCATATCTTTTTGGAAATGTAATTTAGGAATTAGGAAAAACAATTTGCATAAAGACCTAAAAACATATTATACACTGTCTATTTAATAAATACATTCTTTGTTTGCTGTCATCATGTAAATAATCAAAGCTCTTTTGACAAACTGACAAGTATCATTCAATGGGCTGGGTGCGGTGGCTCATGCCTGTATTCCCAGTGCTTTAGGGGGCTGAGATGGGTGGATCATGAGGTCAGGAGTTCAAGACCAGCCTGGCCAACATGGTGAAACCTCGTCTCTACTAAAAATACAAACATTAGCTGAGCATAGTGGCAGGCACTTGTAATCCCAGCTACTCAGGAGGCTGAGGCAGGAGAATCGCTTGAACCCGGGGGGTGGAGGTTGCAGTGGGCGGAGACAGCGCCATAGCACTCCAGCCTGGTGACAGAGCAAGACTCCATCTCTGTCAAATGAACAAACAAAAAAACAGAGTGCAATGGATACAGCTCTTTAACTTGTTTGACTGCTATTAGAAGCAGTCATGATTATTAAGCTTTTAGTTTGACCTATTTCTTTTCAAGCTTAGTAAACACAGCTGTTTTAAATGATTAAAAAGAAATGAACTGAAAGCAATATAAAAATGGACACTTAGATAAAACAAAGCTGAGTGGTTGCAGCATGCACATGTTGCCTTGTTTACTTTTATTTCTTTTTCTGTTTTTAATTTTTTTTCCAAGGACTGCTTTATAGACAGATACTCTTCCAAAATGGACATGATAAAAGGAGTTTTAAATTTGTCAGGAAGGAATGATTCTTCTTACAGCAATGAGTTTGTGGACATACAATGTTCATTTTCCAAAGCATATTGAAATTAAGGGAACATTAGTATTGCTGGGTTTGCGGTTTACTTTTAAAATTCTAAAACGCAACAATCGTAGGAATGGAGAATAATACTTCCTTCTGATTCTTATTCTGGATGTTTCAGCAGAGAATATGAAAAGGATGACAGATTTATACCTAAAACAGATAAGATGACCTCAAAAAAAGACTTTTGTGCCTTTCTTGTGTATGCTCTTACATCTGAATTGACATATTTTCCTTTAAAGCCAGGCACAGTGGTTCATGCCTATAATCCCAGTACTTTGGGAGACCAAGGCAGGAGGATTGCTGGAGCCCAGGAGTTTGAGACCAGTCTGGGCAAAAAAAGTGAGATCCTGTCTGTAAAAAATAATTAAATAAAACAATTAATTGCCACTGCAGTGCTGTTCTCCTCTAGTCCCAGCTCTCTGGGAGGATGACCCTGAAGGAGGAGGATCTCTTGAATTCAGAAGTTCAAGACTGCAGCGAGCTGTAATCACACCACTGCACTCCAGCTTGGGCAACAGAGTAAGACCCTATCTCTCAAAAAAAGAAAGAAAGAAAGAAAAAGAAAGAAAGAAATCTTCTTTAAAAACAAAATTAAGTAGGCCGGGTGAGATGGCTCATGCCTGCAATCCCAGCAATTTGGGAGGCCAAGACAAGTGGATCACCTAAGGTTGGGAGTTCGAGACAAGCCTGACCAACATGGAGAAACCCTGTCTCTAGTAAAAATACAAAATTAGCTGGGCATGGTGGCACATGCCTATAATCCCAGCTAATTGGGAGGCTGAGGC